AAACACTATCTACAGATTTGCATCGAAGCGTTTCTTATGATAGTGATTTTAATCACTGTCAGATATCATCTACACTTGTCCCATCTATGCCTCGACCTCACTGTGCTACCGTTTTTTAGAATAGTTTTTATACTACTGTTATAGCATTAATATTTAAAAGTGACCCCAGACGTCAAATTTTAATATTATTGTCATAGCAATAATATATGATTTTGTCCATCAACGTGTTAATGTCTAATATTTTTAAAGTATATATTTTCGAATTACAGTAGAACTCCAATTATCCGAATTAATGGGGACCGGGACCCATTCACTGACTAATCAAAATAAACAATGACAGGTGACTGCAATGCGCCGGAACTGGAGTGGGAACTCTTACCACGTGTTGTGCCTACACTGACGCCGCGGACTTTGGACAAATTTTTTTCTGATTTTTTCTGAAAGTGATTCGGATAATCGGCGATTCGGATGATCGGAGTTCGGATAATTGGAGTTCTACTGTATATATGATATGATAGTATGTGCCAACTATAAAATAAATAATTTTACTTTGTTTTTATTAATTTCTTGACTATGGTATACTAACAATCTATAATATTCAAAATTATTTGGTAAAATATTACTGTTTAAATGATTTTTGGTTACCTTACTTTATAATTGATTTTTATAATTATAATCAATTTTTATAATACGCACAACTGATTAGATTTGTTTAACAACTTTATGATTGGTTTTTTTAGTTAAAGCGTATCATTAAAATTAATTAAGTTCTGAATATTTCAATTTTAGATTAACCAAGAATTATATAGAAATGATTACTATGATTTCTATTGAAGTTATTTATTTTGATAAAAATGTAAAAAGAAAATAGTGATTTTAACGAAATATTGAGTTTTTCTCGTAAATATACTGTCAATAGTAATTATAAAATTTCCGGACTGCATACTAATCATAACAATACAATTTTTTTTTTGCAATCGTAAACTTATAGTAAGAAGTTTTTTTTTGTACAATGTTTCAAGTTTTGAATGCCCTCTATATAAGGAAATTGTCTAATTTTAATAAAAAGTATGTCAAATGAAAGATGTATTTATAATATATTTAGAAAAAAAATTGTGCTCATATATACATTTTTCGAAAAGTTATAGCAATTTAAACTTGAAAATCAAAAATTTTAACACAAAAATAGTATATTTTTAACTACGACAGCTATTTGCGCGGATAATTTCAAAAGTTAAGTTGAAAAAGTGAATTTTCGTAAAAAAGTTGCTATTTTAAATCCCCCCCAGTGAGCAGGTTGTGTTAGATTTTCAAAAAAATGATAACAAATGAAAGGAAAATATCTAAGGTGTCAATATAAAAAAAAATTAATATGATTCGTTAATTTTTGAAAAAGTTATGGAAGTTTTATGAAAAAAAAGTGAAAAAAATGACGACATTTGTTGATTTTGAATATTGTAATTTTATTGGAAATTTCCCTCACTTACGGGAACGAGGGAAAATTTTTCAATTTTTAAGGGTATTGTCTTCAACTAGATACGATTTGATCTTTTGACGTATCGTTGAGAAAATTCGGTTCAGTGAGAGCTGAGAAAAAGTAGTGACAGGTACAAAAAAAAAAAAATAAACACATCATGGTAAAATAAAATACCTTCTCAGCTTCGTATTGAAGCTAAAAAACTGGGTTACTATTTGAAAAACTAAAGTTTATAATGATTTAAAGGTTAAGGGATGAAGATGCAATCTTTATTATTTTTGTCTAGTAGTTCAACAAAGATTTATTACAAATACAATAATTACATATGTACATAAGTTTGTTACAAAAAAATAAAAACAATATCTTCTCAACTTCTCTAAATATACACAGGTTTAAATCAAAATCAACACTTGTATAAATTATAAAAGAATTATATGTATTAAATATAAATTTTATTTTTAAGATTATCTCATTGTTAAAATTGTTTAAAAAGTTCAAGTGATTGAACAGAAACATTACTATATCATTGTTCAAAAAAATATTATTTGAACATTTTGTTTATTTTTTATTTTTATTCCTTTGATTCCACTATTTCTGTCTTGTCCATTTGGCTGAGTCTGATAATAAAATCACAAAGTCGTATTTGTACTTGAATACGGCTAGCATCATCTGTAACTTCAAACCCTGGTACTCCAGCCATGTTTAAAATACTTTGTTGTTCTCGCCTCTTTTAAAATAAAATAATATTTTTAAAATTATAATNCAGGGAGGATCAAAGGACACGTTCCGGAAGAAGAGTCCATTTTCCAGACCGTCTTCAAGTAGGCTCCGCTTGACTCCGTCACTGGTAGGGGAGTGATGTAGCGACCAAAACATACGCAACGAATATTCTCGAATGTTCTCGTTATCAAAAACCTTCGAGAAACTTCGATAACGCCATAAGATAACCTACGCGGGTATAGAATATTCTAGAATTAGCGAGAGCCTTATCGGAGCTATATATATATCGGAAGAATCAGTCAGTTCAGTTAGTTCAGTTCAGACTGTCTAGTCCGCGATACGCTACACGACCGCTACACCCCGCCGCTGTTGTCATCGTGTATTATGTTTACTTCGATTATTTTATTTTTCCTTACTGTATATACATATATTTTCTTTTAGTGTTTATACGTCTATTTTCGTGTTATAATTTTGGTTTAATAAAAGTCTACCGCCATTTAAATAATTGTGTGTTGTAAGATATAACCCACATAACTATTAATTAATAGTTTACCTTTTCATCAAGTTCATTTATAATTTTTTTATCAAATTCTGTTAGATTTTTTCGATGATCTGCTTGAAGTTTGAGTCGTAGTTTTGTTTTACCGGGTTCTTCTGTATCTGATTTTAATAGTGATTGTATACTAACTAAAAAAATAATAAATTAATTAGTAACTGAAATATTAATTAACTAGGCTTGGCCTAACTACAGGTTGTCCCTACAGATAAATCACAGAGTTCTGTAGAAGTACCCAGCTATGATGGACACAATAGATTTTTTACACAAAAAATATTACTTCACAATTAATATAATAAAAATATGGTTAACGTTCAACTATTATAAATGAGTGAAGTATAAAAAGTGTCAATAATAAAATGTAATAAGTATAAGGTTGACATTTGGTGCCAATAATTTAATAATATTTTATTTTAATACTACCTTTGGTATTAACAATATTAATAATTGTGTTATGGTATTATATGCTACAATGGATTACTATTATATAATATAAAATTTATGTAAATATATTATAATATAATACATCAAGATACATTTTCATTTGCTATTAATAAAAATTAAGAAAAATAAGAGAATAATATTGATCTATTAAAATCATTGCCAATAGTTAATGTTGCATTCACAATATCATATTTATGTCTAACTAATTAATACTTTAAATGTCGAGACCAAATATTAATTAAAAATTAAAAGGCTTGATGCAATTTAACTTTTTAGAAAATTTTTTTGTTAATTTTGAATAAATACACTATTCCAAAATAAATTTTCATTAGACAAAAATATACTTTATTAACCAAATTTTTGCACTTATTTCAAATATACAATTAGATATTTTTCTATCACCTCAAATTTTTAAAATAATTACTAATTAATAAAAGTTGAGTAGTTACATATAAAAAAAAACTAGCAAAGTGTAATTGTGACACAATGGGAACATAGCATAGTTAGAACAAGTATTGGTGATATCTAACAGTGTCAAAATCACTATCATAAAAATTGTAATTTTTATGGAGAAATTATAAAAAGTAGTTGTATATTCGCATACTTGGGTAGAATAATTTCCTCAATATCCTGGGAATACTTTTATAAATTATTATCTAAGTATAATACACGAATAATAAAATAATAAATAGCTAATAAAATAAAAAAGGATGTAATTAAGAAATTTATTAGTTAAAAACAACTTTTAAAATAATACTTCAGTATTTGAGAAGCTATTAAGATTTTTAAATATAGAGTTAAGCTGAATGATAAAAATGACTTAACCCGCACTATAGTTTAAAATTGTTATAATTTTGTAAATAATGGGTCAAAAATGTCATCGACCAGTTATTTTCATAATTAGATCATTTTTTATTTTATAAGCTGTAAATAAATATGTATGTTATCATTAAAATAAAAATAAAGTTGACACCCATATAAGGTATAAACAATAAGCTCAAAAAATTATTATAATTGATAACCCGAGAAATATATTGTAATTATCGTATTATTGAGGATTTTCTTATCGTAATTATTATTTTAAGATAAATCTAGAGGATAAGAGTAGCTATTAAATAAACTATTTTGTATTTTGTTACCTTAATTTATCATAATGATAGCTAGTACATTATTTTTAAAAATGTTAAGCACTTTTCTTTTAATATACACATTCAATTAACATTAAAAGTTGCAAAAATTATCAATAAAAATATTTATAACTAACACTTAAAACCTTTTAGACAGGAACAATATTTGGGTGAATGTTGGGAAGTTTCCGATTTTTGATTTTGAATAATATCCGCAAGTATTAAACGGACTCCTAATAAATATAGCCAAAATAATTGAAATAGAAAATAAGAACATGAAAAATGGTATTTTTCACACTAAAATAATATTTTTTGTTTAACTTTTAAGTACATACTGCCGTTTGCACTTAGAAGACAGGGCATATTTTTATTATACTAAGTTATATCATAAACTTTATAATAACATATATTTAATATCAGAAGCATTTTAGGAATATAATCAAAAGGTAATTTGAAAAAAAAGTGAGTGTACTCGATGGGAATGAATTCCTTCTCTTGAGCGATTGTTTAGCAAGTATTCCTAATCTAAAAATCATACAATGCATCTTAAAAATGATAAAAAAAAGCAATTAAATCTAGTTCATAATTTCAAGTCATTTTTCTCATCTTAGGGTACCCAAAAAATTTATAATAAGTATAACTTTATATTTAAGATAGATTCATATAACTTTTGTGTAAATTGGTGACCTCATCATTAAAGCCTTCCATTATAAGATATAAAAATTCATCATTGATTTGGTTTTATTATACTGGCAACAGTGTAATCAATATTTTATTTGTCATCCAAATCTTTTTTTTTCTCAAAAATTCTCAAATTTCTAAGAAAATGAGTGTCATACCAGATTTTGATCACTCTGTATATTTACTACAATATATAATAATAGTATTATGTAATTGTATATCTATACTTTTGGGACAAAGAATGAAATTAAAAAAAAATTTTTTATGAAATTTTAGCAGTGTTAAGGAATTTAATTTTTTTGTAATTTGTGTAATTCTAAATTCAAAATAGAATTTTTTATTTCAATAACCCTTACCAGAATGCATGTTTATCATTTCTAATCGCTTTTGAAAAAGCTGTTTTTCAGTAACATTTTGAATTCCTGTAAGCTCTTTAACGATAGAATATAATGTTTCATCAAGAAGACATTGGGATAATTCACACAGCAACTCATTTGGAATACGTTGTTGGTATTTTCTGAAATGTATAACAGTATATGTACAAAATTAGATATCCACAAAAAATAAAAAAAAAAATACAACAAATTTCTATTATAATATAAATAGATCACTTGTGACTAATATTACTTAAATTGAAAATATATTTCACATATTACTTTAATTTTAAAAAAAATGTTGAGTATTTTTAATGGCTTTTTAAGTTAAATACTTTTAGTTTTAAATTAACATTTTAAATATATTTTTAATCTTAAGTACATTCTCCATATATTAATTGTTATAATTATCATCTTCACAAACAGAACAAGAATAATTAACTTGTGAGTAAGTTAATTATGAATAAATTAATTTTTAATAAAAATAAATTTTATTTTTTTTAATTGACATACACATTTGTACTAATTCTAGTACTGGTTACTTCAATGATCAATGCAAAAAATGCATTCCAAGGATCTTTTATAGTTATTTAATGTTTTGCAGTAAAATATTTTTTATCTTCATTTATATTTACAAGATTCTTTAAAACACAGGATGCAAGGCAAGTGCATTGATATTCAGCTTATGCATATTTATGTCAGTAATCACTAAGGTTTAGGACTTCCAACAATTTAAAATTTTGTTTAGGCCACTTTCAAAACATCCAATGTATGAAAATTTATCATAGAAATATAGTATACTACAGGAATATTTTATATTCTTATTGGAACTGTTCCTCTTAGATCCCATAATACAAATCCTGATAAATATATATTGTTTATTGTCAAAAAACTCAAACAAGAATATCTGTGAATGGTTAATGTATTCGGAATGACTAAAACAAAATTTATTAACACTTTAAGTCCTCAGCCCTGATAATTACCAATAATGATTCACATGTACTCAAATTAACAAAGTTAAATTTACTAACAAATTTTTCATTTCCATTTACACAATGAAGCTTGGCAATACATATAACACTTAAAAATGTAAAATACCTTTTATTCTTTAGTAAGACTAATTTTTTTAATAATCAAACTTAATTAGCTAGTTAAATTGCTTCTTAAATGTTTTATAATTTAATTAATAGGTGAATACCTTGGCAATTCTTTAACCATTTGTTGAAGTTTTTCATTAAGAAAATACAATCTTGATTGAGTTTCATTTTGATTTTCCATTATGCTCTTTTTCTTAAGAATATTTAAAAATTTAAGTTTATCCTTTGTACTTCATAAATATTTTTTTAAACAAAAATACGCTAGATCTTACTATGTTTAAACATAGTATGAATACTACATCTACATAATACTTGAATTATACAAATTCTTTTAAGTCTAGTCTAGATCTATAATCACAAAATCGTTGAAAGATTTTATTATCATTAACCTACTTATCAATCATTAATTGCTTGCTAATAGGGATGATAAAAATTAACACAACATTGATATTTGGTTTATAGGTTATCGACGATAACGTTAAAAAAAGTTCAGTTTGATATCGATCAAGAATATCAATATTTAAAAAAATCTATTTTAATATTGTATCACTAACACCATCATAACATATAAGAGTGAATAAATTCAAAATAATTTTTTTATTCTATATATATACTTTCATAATTTTAAATAATAGTAAAAAATTGTTTACCCAGATAAAACACAATTCCAATATGCAATTTTTATAGAATTTTTAAGTTTGGTTATTACTCACTTTTTATTTCAAATTGACACAAATTCTTAAATTAATAATAATGATAATAATGATCAGTTTTTATATCCTTCTAATTCCCGAATTTAAGATGCTACAGAGTGTGGTAGCTCTCTTTCACAACTTAGAGAGTTAGTTTGTTCTTGGCTAAGCCAATGATGAACAGGACGGATGTTATGGCCGATTTGCATCAGAGACCAGATACCACCAATGAGAAAATTACAAGAAACCCCTAAATTAAAATCACTAACATAAGAAATGCTTTGATGCAAATCTGTAGTGTTAAAAAATTGATGGATTATTCAAAAAGTGAAATGGACTCTTATTTCCTTATTTATATTCTTTATAAAAGCCGAGAAAGTATTAATTTTACTATAATGTGTTTTTTTATTTTATGTGTCTGTTACTACTCAATGTCAGCTCTTACTGGACTGATTTTGATGAACAATACCTAAAAAGATCATACATTGTATCTAGTTGAAGACATTACCCTAAAAATTAAAAAAATTCACTTGTTCCTTGTAAATGGGGCAAATCTCCAAAAAAATTACAATTTTAAAAATCGGTATTTTTAACGTTTTTTTTCTGAAAACTTCCATTGCTTTTTCAAAAATTAACAAATCAACGTAAAAAATTAAACCTTAGATATTTCCCTTTTATTTGATATCATTTTTTTAAAGATCTAACATTTAACCCGCTCACAAGGGGGATTTAATATAGCAACATTTTTACAATAACTAGCTTTTTCAACATAACTTTTGAAAATATTTCGAAAATCTGCATCCTTTAAACATATAACAAATTAAAGCTTATAATATGTACTATAAAATGAAAAAAAAAATTTTATCCCGACGACTTATCTTCTATGTGCAAATAGTTGTCGTAGTTAAAAACATGCTATTTTTGTGTTAAAACTTTTGATTTTAAATTTTCATCTTTAATTTGCTATAACTTTATTAAGAGATTAAGTCATGTTGTAGAATAATTATACTCTCAAACAACACATTGTCAATCTTGTCAACATCATCTTTATCAATGTTTTTGGATTCCTTCATTTTTGAATTTACTTGGTGTGCATTTTTTATATGAGAGTTAAGACTAGATGTGTTGATATAAGTTAAACATATTTTACTACACATTTTCATTAACTTTGTCAAAATAACGCCAAATTTTACTTAATTCGCCTATTAAAAAAAATATTACAATGCCATGAATACAAAAAATTACTTAACATTTTTGTAACACAAATTGCCCCATTTATTATGACACTTTGTTGTTGCGCCAATGTTTTATTATTATACAGGATATTTATATAACACAACATGGAATATAAAATATAATAACCAACAAGCTTCAAATAAAAAATAAATCATTATTATAAACAATTTGTTATTATTTATATATAACTAGTATATTATTTGTTTTACTATCATTAATTATGGTAAATATCATCAATTTTCTAAAAAATAATTATTCATACCTAAATAATTGATCATGTTATATGGAGAGAGGAGTCGGAAGCGGTAAGAACAATTATAAAAATGAATCTTGAAGGAAGAAGAGGTAGGGATGACCAAAAAAGAGATAGAAGTATGTTATTGAATGTGATATGAGGACAGCTGATGTGAGCGTAGAAGATGTGGGTGATCGTGTCAAGTAGAAGTTTAGGATAAAAGTGGCCGACCCCAAGTAGTCGGGATTAAAGCTAAGAAAAAGAAGCAGAATATTCATACTTAGATAATTGTAATTAATTGTAAATTTGTAATTTTCGATATATCGAATGATTAACATCGATATATAGGAACAATATATCGAACTTGACGATATATCGTTGACATCCCTACTTGCCATATTAATATTAAATATCATCAATGATAAAACACTAATATGAAATCTTTTTACTATCACAGATTAACTTATTATCTATGTCTTATTAAGTCATAGGGTATTATTGCTCTATGACTCCAGTATACTTAATTTTTTTTAATCTACACATTTAAATAATTTTATTGTTAGTGATGTAATTATTTAATAAAATAAATTATATTATTAAAGATTATCAATGATACCATTAGTTAGATTCAGTTGTATTATAGCTTTTGTGTTAAATTTATGTTTATAATATAAATATTTAGTTAATAAATATCAATTATGGGTTCTGAACAGAGTTCTCAAGCTAATGTTTCAAGTAATCAATCAAAATCAAAAAATATGAAACTAAAAAGGGGAAAATCAGTTCCCGAAAGTTCTTGGCACCACAACTCACAAGATGGACATTACAGCAAAGCAGTTAGTACAAATACTTCACCAGGCCATAGTGTTTGCAGTGATAAAGACTTAGCATTTGTCTCATACACTATTAATGAGCCCATTGGTGGTAATATATCAAAAAGTCATTACTTAACTATTATAACATTTATAAATTGATAATTTACAGATTCACCAAAAAAACCTAGTACTATTACAAGAGGACGTTCAATGCAAATGGAAACTAAGAAGGCAACTAAAAAATTATCCAAAGTTGCACCTAAACATAATATTGTTGTTGTAAGGGCTGCTGTTCAAGAAGATAAAGATATAGATGAGGATCTTAGTAGACTTAAAGTAAGTATAGAAAATTCAGTAAAAAAATGTAAATTAAAAATGTGTGTTTTGTAATATGCTAAGAAATAAATGAAAATTTAAAATTGCGGAGTGAATAATACAAAATTATATGATAATTTCTAGTTTCTAGTTTGAATCTTTAAATACGTTATAATTTTTTCTAATACAACAAAACTTTCCTTTTTAACTTCAATGCAAAGCTTAGAAAATATTAATTTACCATGATTCATTTATTTATTTTTTTTTTGTGTCTATCACTACTTTTTCTCAGCTGTCACTAGACCGATTTCTCTAAGAAATTACAAATAATTTCTAATTGAAGACATTACCCTTAAAAATTGAACATTGTGCTCCATAAACAGTGGAACTCCCCTAAAAAATTACTACTTTTAAAAAGGTTTTATAAACAGTTATAACTTTTTAAAAAATTAACAAATTAAGATTTTTTTTTATATAAATAAGTATTTTCCATTTATCTGATATACATTTTTTGAAAAGCTGACCTTCTATTTATCCATAGGGAGTATTTAAAATAGCAACTTTGTATGAAAAGTTAAACTATTCAACTTTACTTCAAATGTTAAAAAATACTTAGCGCTTGAAACATTTGTTAAATTTAAGCTTATATTACATACTATAAGTTAAAAAATAAATTTTTCAACAAACTTGTCTTCTGTATGTAATCAAAAAATATTATTTTAGTGTAAAATATCAATTTTTTTAGCTTTAACGTTTAATTATTTCTGCAAAAACAATTTTATTTTCCTATATTTATCTAGTTTAATGATGGAAACTTGATGTAACCCCTTTACACATGTACCTAGTTGATTCTAAGCTGATTTTCTAGTTAATCCTTTCGATGAAAATTTTTTTTCTATTGAAAATTATACAAATTTTATCTATTTTGGTTTCCATCACATTTCACATCAAAAAGTATAATTAAAAAAAATTAAAAAAATAATTTATTAAAAATTAATTTTTCAAAGGAGTTTATAAAAATTGGAAAGGCTTACTTTTTTGCTACTCCACTCTAAAACTAAATTATTTATTAAATAATAGATTATTAAAAAAAAATTTTTTGTGTAAGAGTTATAAAGTTATTTTAGAGCTCCCTATTTTTGCCTAAATTTTTTTATTAAATAAATAAAAAATTTAAATTTAGAAGTTAAAAAAATATTAGTGCTGGCAATCATGCAAAACTCTAATTTCAAAGTTAACCAGGTTAAAAAACCCAGCACAGGGGGGTCGCGGCAAAGTGGTGACGTGGCATAGTTAGATAGTGTATAATGATATCTGACAGTGATTAAAATCACTATCAAAAAAAAAGACGCTTTGATGCAAATCTTTAGATAGTGTTTAATTTTAAAAAATTGGTGGATTATTCCAAAAGCTACATAATCTGCTAGTTCCTTATTAATATCCTGATTAAGATAAAGTATGTCAAATCAAAAAGGGATTATTAAAAAATATTATTTCTCATAAAAAAATAATGTTGATCCATACACTTTTCAATATGTCATAGCATTATAAAGTTAAAAATGTAAAATACAAAATCGAAAATTTTCACACAAAAATAGCATTTGGTAGCCATTTTCACCGTGAAGATAAAATAAAGTCCGAAATTTTTTTTTTTCATGATAAAGTATATTACATTAGCTTTAATTTAAGATATATATAAAAGTGTTAGACCTTCCGGAACACTTTCAAAAGTTAAGTTGAAAAAATTAATTTTTTGTAAAAAAGTTGTCATTTTAAATCCCCCCTTCTGGGCAGGTTAAGGGTTAAATTTATGAAAAAAATATACCAAATGAAAGGTAATGATATTATGCATCTATATAAAAAAGAATTATATTGATATGTTCATTTTTGAAAAAGTTACGGCAGTTTTTAGTAAAAAAAATTGAAAAAATTTCGAAAATTAGCGATTTTTAAATTTGTAATTTTTTTGGAGGTTTCCCCCATTTACGGGGAACGAGGGAATTTTTTTCAATTTTTGAGGGTAATGTCTTCGACTAGATACGATTTGTGATCTTTTGACGTATCATTGAAAGAAATCGGTTCGGTGAGAGCTGAGAAAAAGTGGTAACAGATACAAAAAAAAAAAAAAAAAAAAAATAAATAAACACATCTTAGTAAAACCAATACCTTCTCAGCTTCGCATCGAAGCTAAAATTATCAATTCATTCATTTATCTCAAAAAACTTAAAACTGCTATAAAATTTTATGTAAATATATTTATAATTTTTCTTTGTTAATACTAATCATAGTAACTAATAATACAAATATTTAAGATTTAATTAAAAATTTCAAGCCTTTTATTTAAAAAATATTATTTTTCAATAATAATTTTTGGATAAGTATTTCGGAACTTATTGACATTTTTATACCTTGGCTGGAGGAGGATTGAGGCTTAAAAATGTCTAGTGATAAAAATAACAGCACCCTTACCTCACGTCCTGCCAAAATAATTAAATTTTAATAACTTGTGTTTCATTTTTCTAAAAATTACAGCAAGTTCCATCATTTTTACCAATAATACGAGGTACTGTATCATTACCAGCTGCAAGAGATCGTGAAGCTTTAGAACGAATAGACTCAAATTCATTTTATAGACTTTGTTTTCAATATCAAATATACTTAAATAGTTGTGCAAAAGCTGTTTCCTCTGATCAAACATTAATTAATAAACAAATATCAGAAGTATTATACAAATTAAATTAAAAATTTATTGATATAAATTATAAATTATGTTCTATTTTTTAGCTCGAAAATGATACAGCAAAGATTTTATCTCAACATTTAGCTAATTACAAACATTATGCTAAAGTTTGTGAACAATTCAAATGTATTAATGATATGAATAAACGGCTCAATGCTTGTCATTTATTATTGAACCAAACATTAGATTCTGTACAAATATTAAATAATAATTTGCCAGTTGAAGATCGTTTAGAGCCATTTGTTTGGACTACTGGTTAAACAAATCAAAATAATTTTATTATATGATTGTTTAATATTTAATCTGAATTTCAATCTATTTTATTAAAGTGTATTAATATAGCTTTATTCAATATTTCTTATAAGTATTGATTTAGGAGAATACAGAGTAATGATCACAATCTTAATATCTTGTAAACTAGTAATTTTTGGCTTATGTTATAAGTAACAAAAATGATCATTGAAACCAGCTTAATATGTGTACACAATTTGATAATATTTTTGTTATTATTTTGTCATTCCTCATGTTTTTTTGTGTTGAGTATTATAATTATTCTTATTAATATTTTTTACACAAATTTTCAGTTATAAAGATCAAATTGATTAGCTTGATACAACAAGATAAATCCAACTTTTATAAAAAATAATTTTTTTGAATAGTGGTAGTAGTATTAAAATTTTGCCTATTAAATTTTTTTAATTTTTAAGGGTAATGTCTTACGTTAAACAGACTGGGATATAAATCCAGCGTTACCTATTGATTAGCAAAATAAACTTTGAGTATTATTAATGAAATATAGTACAATTTTTTTAAAAATAAATATGATTTAGCCTCGTATAAAATTGCTTTAATAGAACTTTAGTTATCAAATAATAAATTTACATAATTTTAAGTTAAACCGCATAGAGTGTAATGAAATTGAAAAACAGACAAAGGAGCTTTTAAAAGCTGGTATTGTAGAAGAATCATCAAGTCCTTATTCTAATCCTGTGTTTTTAGTTGCTAAAAATCAATGACAATGACAAAAGTCATCTTTTTCTTGATAAAAGTTAAGATAGATTAATACAGAATGGTAATAGACTTTTGCAAACTGAGTAAAATAATTTATCGTAAAAGTTTCCCTTTACCAAGATACAAAATTTATATGATTGTTCAACAGGAAACTAATATTTTAATTCTTTAGATGTTACTTCAGGTTTTCATCAAATTGAACTTTCTGAAAATTCTAAAGCTCTTACAGCTCATTTAACCGAAAACTGTCATGTTCAGTTTACTCGTCAACCTTTTGGGTTATTTAATGCACCTCAATTTTGTTAAGCTGTTATGTGTAAAGTTATGGCTGGATTAAATTATAGACATAAAGTATGTGTATTTAGACGATTGTGTTATATTTGACAAATCATTTGAGTCTCATTTACATTCACTGAAATTATCATTTTAACGATTTTTAAAGTGTAATTTAAAACTAAAACAATCTTAGCGTTGGGTTTTAAAAGTATTAGATAACATTATTGATAAAAAGGGAGTAAGACCCACTCAGCAAGGAATAGAAACTATACAACAATTTGCACAAAGTAAAACAATTAAACAACTTCGCAGTTTTTCAGGTCTAGATAATTATTTTAGATGTTATATTCTCCAAAATTTAGTAACATCGCAAAACCTTTAATAAATCTTACTAGAGATAAATTCAATAGCAAACCTTCATCAATCAAGTGAGAGGACACGCATGAATGTGTTTTTCTTGAATTCAAAAGTAAATTAACTAGTCACCCAGTATTGGTTCACTATGAAGAAAATGCAGAAACGATAATTGTAACTGACGGTTCTAAATTGGGTTTGGTACTATCCTCCAGAAGCGTAATCAAAACAATGAAAATCATCTAGTAGCATTCTCATCCAAAAAACTGACTAAAGCCGAGGGCCGATATAGCGCAATGAATTTAGAGTGTCTAGCAATTTTTCACGCATTAACTATTTTTAACACGCTTATATTACCGTCGCCTACAACGCTGCTAACCTTTTGTGACGGACACCGAATCGTCAACGCCAGCGACAGTGCCGCGATATTATGCGAAGATCATATATTCCTACCACCACCGTTAATATATTAATATTTATACGTATATGTTAATATTCATTTATATATTCTTACAGCCAACGCCTCTGCCGCCGTATATACCTCGTGTATAACGTTCCCCCCGCCCACAAATCACGGCTATACCTCATGCGTGATATGTTTACGTACTTAAGTCGCTTTACATGTATATATATATATATATATATATATATTCTAATTACTATTAAAATTAATATATTAATACGCTTTATACTCATTAAGAGATATATATGGTATCTATTCCGGATTACAAAGGATGATCCCCGTATTGTCATTTTTCGTCACTACCTCCATATTGCGCGCCTGCTGCTTTCTTTGGATGTGGTAGCCGTTTCTCAGACTCCCTCTCCGGAATCGAACCCTGATTCCCCTTTACCCGTTACAACCATGATATTGATAGTAACTACTATCATAACATGTAACTAAAAAGTGTAAAATAAATATAGTTTAAAAAAACTAAAAAAAACGCTTTTAAAGCACATTGAACTAAAAAGTTCAAAATAATTTTTAAAATAAGCGTAAAATAATGATTAACGAAAAGTACTATATAATAAAAATTGATCACTTGTGGCTAATTAATTAAGTAAAATTAAAACTATATTAAAAATATTATTAATTTAAAAAACTAAAAAATATTAAACTCAAAGCCACAAAAAAAAAAAAAAAAATTAATGAAAAGTCGCGGATACGTATTTGGGAAACAATGTTACCATTGTCAACGCTAAACACATACTGACACCCCGATTAGATAAAACTCCCTTATATACCCCTAGTGACCTTATCACCTAGTGACGTCATCACTAAGTAATATTATCACATTTTGCCAGTATACACAAGTTTAATAATGAATTTTTCAGTGGGCCAAGATCCCAAATAATTAAATTGTTTTTAAAGCGTGGGTGCTTTGTGCTATTTTTAACACGCTTATATTAGTTTCACGTGTATGTTTGTTTGTTGTTTGTTGTTTGTTTGTCGTTTGTAAGTTTGTAACTCCACGCGGCACGTGTTATTATGTCGCGTATCCCGTCGTGTATGACCTTGAGACTATCTGTTGTAACGCATTCGCCCCACCCCTCTCACCACTCGTAGACAACAATATTTTCTAACCCGTAGACGCGTGCGTGTCATCAATTATGTATATACAGGGTGGCCCACCACTCACTGACAACTTATATAACTTTTGATCCAGTTAATATTTTTAGTTGATTTTTTTTTTAAAATAATAGTTATACGTTAGGTCTATAGCTATATCTCAATAATTAATTTTTTTACATTTTATTAAAAATATTAATTATTTTTAAATTTTAAATAAAATGTAAAAAAAAAATCTAAGATAGCTATTTTGTAGAGTAGAATTTAAGAAAAATTTTAGTAAAAAAATATCTTATTAATATTCAGTAGTACATATTCTGTAGCGTTTTGAAGTTTGTAAAAATTTGAATTTTCATGTACTATTTTACGGTTATAAACATTGAAATACGTATTGAGAAAAGGACAGAAGAAAACGCTATCTTTTCATGATTACTGTGTATACATATGATGATAGTGTGTATACATTACAAACTTGGCATAAATACCATGATAAGAAATTAGATAAAGCAATTATTACTTATCATTCTCATTCAAAAGTATATTAACGGTGGTGGTAGGAATATATGATCTTCGCATAATATCGCGGCACTGTTGCTGGCGTTGACGAAGCGATGTCCGGCGTGCTCCTCGGTCGGCCAAAGGTTAGCAGCATAGATGACGACGGTGCTCGAGTGCAGATCGATATGTTGACATTGTCACTTTGACAACAGTAAGAATACTACGGTATCATTAGCGGCGGAACGTCGTCGGCCGTGCGGCACTTGCTGGACTTTGCACCGCGGCGTATAACGCGAGGTGTTGGTCAGTCAAATACTCATAATAGGCGACAGCTGATAAAGGTGGCACGACTCGTGGGGCATTGTGTATAACAAAACGATGCGGGGCCGCACAGTGGAATGAAACGCCGATTTAGGCGGCCAAAAGTATCATTTTTTAAAAGTTACTTAAATTTTTTTTTTTTAGCAAAACACATTAATATCATACTTAAGGGTTTTAATACAAATTTTCAAGGGCATAAGTTGATTTAGTGAAGATAATTATTATGCCATTATATGAAAAATAATTATGCCATTGATAAATTCATGACTGAAAATGAATCATTTAATTCATCTTCTTTATAGTTGTCATCATTATGAGGGAATATTACTAACATCTTACCATATTGCATAATTATTTTTTAAATGTATAAAACTAAAATATTCATATTTATATATCAATGTAATCGTATAACAATTAATAATAAATAATGACTAATTTTATTTATAGAGTAAAAATCCTGTAAAACATAAGATTTTTAGGAAAATACTCGTTTATTGTAGGTAAATGCAGTATGTACAGTTCAAATATTATCGAGTGCAAAATTTTTTTTTTTCATAGTATAGCTAATGACTTGCTCTACAAGCCACATGTATGGATTAACGTGTAATTTTGCGTAATTTTTAGTTAATCTCTTTAAACGAGCAAACTTGAGAAAAAAACGAAAAATTTCGATTTTTTTTTAAGTATAAATATGTTTAATTCCACAAAAATAAAGAAAAATCTTTTTTTTTCTTTTTCATTTGAAAAAGGATATCTTTTTTAATAGGAATAAAAATATTTTTTAATTTTAAATTATGTTTTAAGGCATAAAAAAAAATGTACAAAAATAAACTCAAAATAACTGAAAATACGGAAAAATTTTAGAAGTATAACATTAAAATAGCTCTACATCTTCACTAAATCAACTTATGCCCTTGAAAATTTGTATTAAAATCCTTAAGTATGATATTAATGTGTTTTGCTAAAAAAAAAAAATTTAAGTGACTTTTAAAAAATGATACTTTTGGCCGCCTAAATCGGCGTTTCATTCCACTGTGGGCCGTGTCAATTATAATAAAAATTTGTTATATATATATATATATAATTAATGACACGCACGCGTATACGGGTACGAAAACCAAAAATAAAAATATACAGGAAAATATTGTTGGTGGCGAGTGGTAACTCGGGTGGGGTGAATGCGTTACGACAGTCTAGTCTCAAGGTCATACACGACGGGATATGCGACATAATAACACGTGCCGCGTGGAGTTACAAACTTACAATAAACCAACAAACAACATACATGTGAAACTAATATAAGCGTGTTAAAAACTAAAAGACTCGCTTTTAAAGCATATCGAACTAAAAAGTTAAAAATAATTTTTAAAATAAACTTAAAACAATAATGAACGTAAAATACTAGAATTATTGTGAAAAAAAGCGTCGGGCGTTCAATATACGAAAAATTTGACACAAAGCACCCAAGTTTATATATTATCTTCTGCATGCAAACGGCTGCCGTCGTTAAAAAAATGCTATTTTTGTGTTAAATTTTCGATTTTAAATTTTCAACTTAAAAATGCTATAACTTTTCGAAAAATGTATGTATCAGCACAAATTTTTTTTTTTTTTTAAATACATTATAAGTACATCTTTCATTTGACATACTTTTTATTAAAATTGGACAATTTCCCCTTATATAGGGGACGTTCAAAACTTGAAACATTGTATAAAAAAAAAACTCTTTCAACTTTACTTTTGAAAATGTTCCGAAAATACTGCGTCCTTTAAATATATGTCATATTAAAGCTTATGTCATGTACTATAAAATTAAAAAAAAAATTTATCCCGACGACCTATCTTCTATGTGCAAATGGCAACCGTATTCAAAAATATGCTATTTTTGTATTAAAATTCTGGGTTTTGTGTTTTATATTATTTTAAATTATCTTATAAGGGAAATATACTGACTTTCATGAATATTATATAATTTAATTCACATTGAATACATGTCATAACACATAAGAAATTAAACTTATTTAAATTTTTTTGCTTTTTCAAAGTCAAAAAGTAACTTTTAAATTTGACTTAGCTTAAATAGCCAATTTTATCATGCAACAAAAGCAACGAACAGTTTCCGAGTCAGTAACACTTGTGTCTTTCACGTTTAGGATACGAGATTCAAATCCGCCCGTGACAATAAACACTTTGCATTTTTTTTGAGTTAGAAAAAAATTTTCAAAACATTTGATTTTTATCTCATTTAGTTTCAATAACTTCAATAAATATCAAGGGTCCCATCATTATAGTCTCCCCTCGTGAGAAGAAATTTCTTATTCAAGTTAATATTATTTTACTATGTGGTTTTTTTGTGGCTACGATTCATTATGCCAATCCCACTCGACCTACTTTTTTCAACAATACATCAAATGATTACTATTCGTATTTAGTTTAAGTTATTACTCTTAAAAATCGAAAAAATATTCCTTATTCAAATAAAAAGTAGCTTAACCAGCTTTTTCCATACAAACAATTAAAATCATTAATATCTAATATTCTTAAAGTATTTATTGTGGAATTAGATTTTATGATAAAAGTATTCAACTACAAGAGTAAATAATTTAATTTTGTAATTTATTAATTTTATAACTCTATTTGTGTGTGCTACTACCAGTCTATAATATTACTAATTTTTTTGTAACATGTTGTTATATAAATCATAAATTTAAAAAAAAAATGATTCTTAGTTTCACCTGAATTTAAAGATGGATTTTTACAATTATAATCAAATTTTATAATACGCTCAATTGAGTAAATCTTTTTAACAACTTTTTTTTATTGGTTTTTTTAGATATACAATCATTAAAATTAATTAAATTCTGAATATTTCCATTGTAGAATCTTTTTAAATACCAAAAGTTATTTAGAAATGATTAGTATGATTTTTATTTTAGTGATCTATTACGATAAAAATGTAAAAAAAATCAAACTTTTCTGTTAAATGTACTGTAAACGGTAATTATAAAATTCCATGATTGCATATTAATCTTAACAATTTCATTATTTTCTATTTAATAATGTCAATTTCAAACTTGCAAGTTGAGCTAAAAGTTATGGCAATAAATTCATTTTTTTTATAATGAAACACTATCTACAGATTTGCATCGAAGCGTTTCTTATGATAGTGATATTAATCACTGTCGGGTATCATCTATACTAGTCCCAACCGTGCCACGTCCCAACTGTCCCGCGGCCTACTGTGCTACCATTTTTTTAAAATGCAACTATACAAAATATCGATTATTAAATTTTGACTCGTGTTTTAATTTGACATATTAATAATAACCTAGAGCTTTACTAATAAATTAGAATTATTGTGATAAGTGATATGCTTTGTTTTTTTTCTTAATGTTTTTAGTGAGCGATACATTCTATAATTATGAATAAGGGATTACACAAGATGAAAAGTACTTCATTAATTAGTCCAAATTATTTTCTCATATTATAGAGATGATTATAGATTATCCATACAAACTTTACTAAAGATAACTTTTGGTTTTTATTATTTTATAATGAATAAAAGTTTTTTCCATTAATTTTTTTTTGTTCTTCATATTTATTTATTTGTTCAATGATCCATATTAAATGATATGATAGTTTAGTATAAACATCAGGAAATCCTGGCCTAGAACATCCTGATCCAAAAGAAATCAAACCAGCTAAATACCACCTTCCATCTGGTCCTGAACATTGTAGTGGGCCTCCAGAATCTCCCTAAATAATTTTATATATTATAATAAAAATTATATGGTACTTTATCATTTATATTAGACATACACTTACCACACATGGCCTACCTCCATTAGTGTCCAAATTACCAGCACACAAATGTCCATCTGTGATAGGAACTGCTGGTTCATATTTGTCTTTGCAAATAGATGCATTATGTACTGAGACTTTAATCTGGCGCAGTTTTCCCGATAATGGACCATTCTCTTTTACTTTTCCCCAGCCTGTTGTTATACAAACGTTTGGAATAAATGTCGCAGCTTTGTTAGCCAACGGTGATAAGCATAAATATCGCACAAAAGTGTTAGAAACGTTTGTAGACCTAGATAATTTCATTAATGCTACAAAATAATTTATCAATTTATATTAGATTACGTGTTTAAATATATTATAGTACTGCATTTAGTTTACCTATATCATTTTGATAATTATTAAACATGTGATGAACAATAATTTTTTCAATTGAAATGCGTTCCTCAGTCCATTCTTCAACATCTCTATTCCAATCACCTAAAACAGCAGTCCATAGAGCTGCTAAAGGTAGATTGAATTTTTCACTACAAAATACTCATTAAAATTAATATTATGGATTTATAAATCACATTGAATATATTTTTAAAAATAAAATGCCCCTAAAAATATACATACTTTAGTAGTGCACAGAGTGATGCATTTATTAATAAAAAAAATAAAAATAGTAATAAGAATATTTTTGGTTTCTTTTAAATGCATTTTCTCGACTTATCATTCATAAAATTTTTTTTATTTTGATCCATTATAATTATAAGGGTGTCAACTTTATTTTGTCAAACGACAACTTACACTATTAATTAGTTCATTTAATACTTAATGATCTAATAAAAAAAACGACTGGTCAATAACAACTATTGGATCATGTAGTATTACGCTACAGCTTTATTGCCGTTTCACATTTACAAAAAAGTCCGTTGGGCAGCCCTGCAGATAAATATTAAATTCATAAATTCAAAGTAGAACTTTTTCAACTTAAATTTTGAAAGTGTTCCGGAAGGTCTGACACTTTTATATATATCTTAAATTAAAGTTAATGTAATCTACTTTATTATGCGAAAAAAAAATTTCGGACTTTATTTTATCTTCACGGTGAAAATGGCTACCAAATGCTAATATTATGTGAAAATTCTCGATTTTATTTTTTACATTTTTAACTTTATAATGCTATGACATATTTAAAAGTGAATGGATCAACATTATTTTTTTATAAGAAATAATATTTTTTAATAATCCCTTTTTCATTCGACATACTTTATCTTAATTAGGATATTAATAATGAACTAGCAGATCATGTAGCTATTGGAATAATCCACCAATTTTTTAAAATTAAACACTATCTAAAGATTTGCATCGAAGCGTTTTTTTTTTGAGAGTGATTTTAATCACTGTCAGATATCATTATACTTGATCCATCTATGCCACGTCACCACTGTGCCGCGACCCCCCTGTGCTGGGTTTTTTTAACATTATGATGCTATAACTTTTTAAAAAATGCATGAATCAATTCTATTCTTTAACAATAAATACCTTATAAATACCTCTTCAAAGAAAAATTTGATATCTGAACTTATATGTTATATTATTTCATTTATATTTTATATAACTTTTGGAAAAATGTATGGATCAATATTATTATTTTTTTATAGTAAATTTTTATATACCCCTTTTATCTGACACACTTTTTTTGTAAATCGGATCACATCCCTTTATACAAGGGGGGTCAAAACTTTTAACATGCGTATTGTTACTAAGATATTTTCAATTTAATTTTTGAAAGTATTCCGGAAATACCGACACTTTTATATATATCTTAAATTAAAGCTTATGTAATATACTTTAATTTGAAAAAAAAATTGACCTCTGGATTTGTCTTCATAGTAAAAATGACTACCGTATTCAAAAATTTACTATTTTTGTGTTCAAATTCTGGGTTTTGTATTTTATTTTATTTTAAAATACCTGACAAGGGGAGTACAGATTTTCATAAATATTATATAAATTAAAATTAATATAGCATAGAAAGTTAAACTTATTTAAATTTGTTTACTTCTTTTAAGTTGAGAAAAATAATTTTGAGATTTGAACTAACTTAAATAGCTAATTTTTTCAGCCAACGTTAGCGACGTACGGTTGCCAAGTCAGTTAAACTTGTGTTTTACACGCTTGAGGTACAAGATTCCAACTCGCGTATAATAATGAATTGTTTGCATTTTTTCTTAATTCTTTTTAAGTTAAAATAAATTTTCAACTGCTTTGATTTTTATCTCATTTATATTCAATAACTTCAATAAAGATCCAGGATCCCATCACTTTAGTCGCCCCTTGCAAGAAGAAATTTCTTATTCGTATTAAAATTATTTTACTATATTTTGATTTTAGCTTCGATGCATAGCTGAGAAGGAATTTTTTTGTGACTATCATTTATTTTCTCTGCTATAACTTGACCTATGTTTTTCAACGATACGTCAAATGATTACAATTAGTTACCCTCAAAAATTGGAAAAAAAAATTCTAATTTATCAATGAAACCGTTACTTATTCCATATTCTCCATATAGACAATTAAAATCATTCATTTCTAATGTTTTCAAAGTATTTATTGACGAATCAAGTTTGATATGATAATTTAATATGATAGGTTTCAAATACAAAATTAAATCATTTTACTTTGTAATTTAATAATTTTTTTACTCTATTTGTGTGTGCTACTACTAGACTATAATAATTCAAATTTTTTGGTAACGTGTTGCTATATACATTATTTCTAAAAAAAATGATTGTTAGTTTCTCCTGAATTAATAATGGATTTTTACAATTATAATCAAAATTTATAGTACGCTATTGAATAGATCTTTTTAACTTTTTTAGCTTCGATGCGAAACTGAGAAGGTATTAATTTTACTACGATGTGTTTTTTTTTATTGGTTATTTTAGTAAATCATTAAAATTAATTCAGTTCATATTTCAATTGTAGAATATTTTTAAACCCCAAAAGTTACTAGGAAATGATAACTATTATTTGTATTTAAGTTATCTATTACGATATAAATGCAAAAAATAATAAAGATTACCTAATTATTTGACTAATTTAATTGTAATTTATGTAATTCAAACAAATTTTCATTTGCCCCAGGCTTATAACATTATCAACTATACTTTAATTTTCATTTACCCATACACAATATACTATTTGGGACAAATGAAAATTTGTAGGTATCGAATATATGAAATAATATAATGATAGCTGTAACAGAACAATTTCATTTGCCCAATATGTTTGTTCAATATAACACTTGCTGTTGGAAATAGTTATTTTCATTTACCCCAGAAGTATGGGGCAAATGTAAATTTTTTATGAAATTTTATATTATTTTTTTCTTTTAAAATAAAATAACTATTTTAACGTTTGATTGAAATGTTAGACACATATTGTATATAGTTAAATAGTTTTTATCTAAACCAAAATTAAAAAACATTATTACTGCATGAATCTAATAAAAGTTGTAAAACATGTAAATTTCATTTCCATTTACCCCACTTGACCCTAATTAGTAATAATATAAAAAATTAGAAGTGATAGAAAAAATGTAATTGAAGATTTGAAAACAACGCGAAAAGTTGATTTAGAGAAGTATATTTTTACTTCTGATGAAAGTTCCTTGTAGTAGAGTGCATTTATTTGTAGTAACAGACAGTTTTATTTGAAAATATTGTATCAAGCCCTTTAAATTTTTTTACACGGAAAAGTAAAGCAAAATATAACTTCTTTATTATTTTTATAATTTCTCCGTATAAATTACTATATTAAATTATTGAATATCAATTTCATACTAAATTTAATAATTATAATTAGTATTTATTCATATATTATATTTTAAAATCAGAGAAATACTAATCAGGATATAGTTAAAGAAATAAGAGTTGATTATGCTTTTGGAATAATCCATCAATTTCTCTAAATGAAACACTATCTACAGACTTGTATCGAAGTGTTTTTTTTGATAGTGATTTTAATCACTGTCATTGTACTTGATCCAACTATGCCACGTCACCACTGTGTTGCTACCCCCCTGTGGTGGGTTTTTATTTTTGTGTCTGAAGCCACTTTTTCTCATTTTTAGATAGTGATTTTAATCACTGTCAGATATCATCTATACTTGTCCCATCTATGCCTCATCCGCACTGTGCCTCGACTCCACTGTGCTACCGTTTTTTTTTTGTACTTAAAACTGCCATAACTTTTTCAAATATTAACAAATAAAAATAATATTTTTTTATATCAAAACCTTAGGTAATTTCCTTTTGTTTGATATCATTTTTTTTGAAAATCTAACACTTATTCTGCTTATAGGGGGGGATTTAATTTAGCAATTTATTTACAAAAACTAATTTTTTCAATTTAACTTTTGAAAATGTTCCGGAAATACTGCGTCATTTAAACATATGTCATATTAAAGATTATGTCATGTACTATAAAATTAAAAAAAAAAATTATCCTGACGACCTATCTTCTATATGCAAATGGCTACCGTATTATAAAATTTGCTATTTTTGTATTAAAATTCTGGGTTTTGTGTTTTATTTTATTTTTAATTATCTTATAAGGGAAATATACTGACTTTCATGAATATTATATAATTTAATTCACATAGAATAAAGGTCATAAGACATAAGACTTTTTTCAAAGTCAAAAAGTAACTTTTAAATTTGACTTAAATAGCTTTAATAGCTTATTTTATCATGCGTCGAAAAAGACAAACTACTTTAATGATTAATGTACTGTAAATAGTAATTATAAAATTTCCTGATTGCATATTAATCTTAACAATTTCATTTTTTCTATTTAATAATGTCAAATAAAAAAATTATATTGATATATACATATTTCAAAAAGCTATAGCAATATAAAGTAAAAAAACTCAGCACAGTGGGGTCAAATATCATAATAATTATATCAAATAAAAATAATTAATAATATAATATTGGTAACATTTTATTTATTTATTTTTAATGCTTTATATGCCCATTAAGGACCATAGCGGCCTCCCCCAAAGGAAAACGTTTCTAAACCATTAATATACGAGACAGGTGGTTAGTTCGTCGCCGGAGAGAGAGATGGCAACTCCAATTACCAAATTGATCTCTCGTTCGGCAAATGAAGCCGCCCGTGACCGAGTTTCGGATCCGAGGCAGTGCGCATCAAGTACTACCGCGTTACTGACTTGGCTACACTGGCCCTCAGACAGTTATTATTATTATAAAATAATATTAGTAAAATAATTATTTAAAATGTTATAACATTTTTATGGGAAACGTTATTATTTTTATAATTTTTCCATATAAATTACAATATTGAATTATTTATTATGAGTTTCATTTTAAATTTCATCACTATAATTTGCGTTAATAAAAATATTAAACTTATAATCAATAAACTACTAATCAGGATATAATTAAAAATATCAAAAATGATGTTGCTTTTTGAATAGTAAAACTAAATTAGTATTTAATCAGCTTAGATAACAAAAACCCAGCACAGTGGGTTTGCGACACAGTGGAGACGAATGACACACCATGAAGATAAAATAAAGTCATTAATTTTTTTTTCCATAATAAAGTATATTACATAAGCTTTAAATTAAGGTATATATAAAAGTGTCAGTCTTTCCGGAACATTTTCAGAAGTTAAGTTGAAAAAGTTAATTTTTTGTGAAAAAGTTACCATTTTGAAACCCTTTCTATGAGCAGGTAAAGGTTCAAATTTATAAAAAAAATACAAATGGGACATCAGTATCTAAAAAACAGTTTGGATTGATGCCTGTTAAGTCAACAATGGAGCCATTATTTTGTGTGAGGCAACTAATAGAAAAGTTTAGGGAAAAAAAGAAAAAGCTTTGTATGGTATTTATAGATTTAGAGTAAGCGTATGATAAAGTACTGAGAGAGGTTTTAAAGTGAGCATTAATGAGAAAAAGAGTCCTGAAAAGGTACATTAATATAATAGAGGATATGTATGACACTTGTACTAGGGTAAAAAGTGTGGGAGGAATAACGGAAGGTTTTCGGGTAAGAGTAGGAGTGCATCAGGGTTCTGCTTTAAGCCCTTACTTATTTTCTATAGTGAAGGATGAAATTACTGGAGAAATACAAGGTGAGGTGCCGTGGTGATGTTGTTTTCTGACGATATAGTGTTAATAGGAGAAAATAGGGAAAAAATTAATCAAAGGCTAGAGGTGTGAAGATCAGTTCTCGAAGAAAAGTGTAAAAGAATAAGTAGGAATATGACTGAGTCTATAAAGTACGAGTTTGATAAATGAGAACACAAGGTAAGTAAAATAAGAAAATCGGTGACAATAGGCGAGGACGTGACAGGAGAGGTGGAAAGTTTTAATTATTTAGGATCAGTTGTGCAAAAGAGCAGTGGTATTAACGAGGATGTAAGACGTATGATTAAGTGCAGGTGGTTGAAGTGGAGAGAAATGTTTAGTGTGTTATGTGATAAAAGAATTCTAATGAGGCTGAAAGGTAAGTTCTATAAGACTGTAGTGAGACTAGCTTTGCAGCATGGTTCAGAGTGTTGGGCGGTTGATAAAAAAGTAGAGCAGAGAATGAGTGTTGCATAGATGAGAATACTTAGATGGATGAGTGGAGTGACTAGAGAAGATAGGATAAGAAATGAGCATATAAGAGGTAGTATAGGCGTAGCGTCAATCGTGGATAAGATGAGAGATAATAGACTTAGATAGTTTGGTTATGTAATGAGAAGAGAAGAATCGGAAGCTGTAAGAATAGTTGTAGAAATGAATGTTGAAGGAGGAAGAGGTAGAGGAAGACTAAAAAAGAGAAGGAGGGATGCTATTGAATGTGATATGAGGACAGCTGATGTGGGGGATCGTGTTAAATGGAAGTTTAGAATAAGTAAGGCCGACCCCAAGTAGTTGGGATTAAGGCGAGGAAGAAGAAGAAGAAGATCGTAGAAGGATGAAAAATTGAAAGTAATATGAATTTTTTTTATTCTTAATCATGACAAATTAAAAAAAAATCTTGCCAAGACAACTAAATTTTGTAATTAACAAATTAAAAATAGGGGTTAATCTTAAAAGGGTAATAATTTAGTGTTGTATGTATTTTTGAATGCTATATCATAAAAAAAAAAAAACATTTTGTCTAAAAAAAATTAAGTAGTGGATCACTCCTAAGATTAGGGGTATGAAAAATAGATGTTGACCAATTCTCAGACCTACTCCAAATGCACACGAAATTTCATGAAATTCGGCCAAGCCATTCCAAAGGAGTTTGGCAACAAACACTGCGATACGAGTATTATATATATATATATTAAATATGTAATTTTTTTGGCGATTTACCCTATTTACGGAGAACGAGGGAAATTTTTTCAATTTTTGAGGGTAATGCCTTTAACTATATTTGATTTGTGATTTTTTGATGTAAGTTGAAAGAAATCGATTCGGTGAAAAATGAGAAAAAGTGGCTACAGACACAAAAAAACATCATAGTAAAATTAATAGTTTTTCAGCTTCGCATCGAAGCTAAGAAACCTTGTGAATAAATAAATCAATAAATATCCTGTTAATTTTGAAAAGACATTAGGAAATGAATGTATTCATTTACATTGTCAATTCGAAGATTCCCTAGCAAATTCGGAAGATAAAAAAATGTCTATTGTATTGCATCCAGGGAGTTTTTGAGATATTTACCCAAATGTGCATATTTCTCTACGTATTTTTTTTTATTATTCCAGTAACAAATTAGATAAAATATTTTTCAACTTTAAAAAACCTATTTACGTGAAAATATGGACTAAGATAAACTTAATGCTTGAAATTGATTATGATAACATTAATCAATGTTTTTGTCTAGACTAAAGCTATGAACAATGAATTTTCAAATTTATTAGTAATATATATTTAGTTTATTAGTGATATTTAAAAATTATATTAAAATAATTTTATTGGATCAAAATTAATGAAACTAATTTCATCAAAATTGGTGGCCCAACCAACTAACTTAAGGCGACAGCAAGGTTTAATATGACACTAACTACAAGCATTATAGCAATTAAAAAAAAAAAAAATTGATTCCTTACTTTTTAATACAGTGAGCAGCTGTTAAAACCCATGTTGGTCGAATCAAAACTCCAGCGCACCAATGACCAACGAATCCGAATATTGGATGAAGCAATTGTAATGAAACCTTAACATTAATTTATATTATGCAGTTGTCGTAATACACTCGTCACTATCACAATAGTAAACTACTCTGTTTGTGTCCACAATAATGGTTTTTCATTTAAGACTATTAACACTTTTATTTATAAATTATATTCATATGCTTAAAATAACATGATTGTTTTTAAATAAATAACTTAGATAAATATTTAACAAACGCATACTGCCGTTTAATTATATATTATACACGATTCAGTCATGAGTCAATTATTGGTCACCTTTAAAAAACACTCTATAGGACAATTATAAATTATACTTGTCAGCTCTTTTTACTCTTAACTTAATAAAAAAACACAATGTATTAACCCTAGTCTAGAATGTAAAAACAAACTACATTAACGTTGTATAAAAATGATTTGTATATTAATTTATATATTTTATGATGACTTGTCAATAAAATAGCAACATTGCGAGAATGACACAATGATGATTGTTGGGGGAAAAAAAATATACTATAAAGGACAGAGTAATCCTTCTCAGTCGGGGCTGAATGTTGAAGGATTGAGAGAGTCTGTCTCTAAATATTCATTGAGCTGTTCGAACCTCGCTCTCGACATCGATACGCAAAGTTCGTAGTCATCATTGTGAAATTCTTGCTTGTTAATTTATGAACTAAACATTTGAGTTCGTGTTATTTTATTATAACCTGATATTGTCAAAAGTTATTATTAAAACAAGGAAAATCTTCAGGTAAGAATTCAAATCATTAAGAGTCAGTACATATATTATCTTATAATTCAATTATTTAGAATTAATAATCTGAGTATAGAACGATAAAGCAATAGATCAAATAATTATATTAATCTTTAAACTTCAATTAATTATAATTAACTAGTTCGCACCTTATACATAATCACATTACATGGTATTCGTGAGATGGCCACCGCCTCTTCTTTGCCTCAGTGTATTATTACAGGTACTTACTAGTTGAATCATTTACAATATCTTTATAAGAAGAACCTTAATTATTACATTTTATATCTACTTGTCTTTATTGTTCTAAGCCCTCGGACTCTACAACCCTGATAGAACCACCTCGTTACTCACCAATTGACCAAATCCCCAAATATCCAACATTGGTTAATAAACACCCTAACATCTTTTTTTTAGTTATTTTTGTATTATTACACAGTATATGTGATGTTATTTAGAAAAACCCAGACCAGTGGGGTCGCGGCATAGTGGGGACGTTGCATAGTTGGGTCCAGTATAGATTTAATTTGACAGTAATTAAAATCACTGTGATAAAAAATGCTTCGATGCAAATCTGTAGATAGTGTTTAATTCTAAAAAATGGATGGATAATAAACAATGGACAAAAGCAACATCAACTTCTATTTCCTTAATTATACCCAGATTAGTAATTCTTTTAATTATATATTATATAACTTTTAAAATTAATTATTTTCAAATTATTATTGATTTTGATTTTTAATAAGTTAAAAGTTTATTATTTATTACCATAACTTTTAGCTCAACTTGCAAGTTTGAAATTGACATTATTAAATAGAAAATAATGAAATTGTTAAGATTAATATGCAATCAGGGAATTTTATAATTACCGTTTACAGTACATTTAACAGAAAAGTTTGATTTTTTTTACATTTTTATCGTAATAGATCACTAAAATAAAAATCATACTAATCATTTCTCAATAACTTTTGGTGTTTAAAAAGATTCTACAATGGAAATATTCAGAATTTAATTAATTTTAATGATTGTATATCTAAAAAAACCAATAAAAAAAAGTTGTTAAAAAGATTTACTCAATTGAGCGTATTATAAAATTTGATTATAATTGTAAAAATCCATCTTTAGTTTTTTTTTTATACAATGTTTCAAGTTTTGAACGTCCCCTATATAAGGGGAAATTGTCCAATTTTAATAAAAAGTATGTCAAATGAAAGATGTACTTATAATGTATTAAAAAAAAAAAAAAAAATTTGTGCTGATACATACATTATTTGAAAAGTTATAGCATTTTTAAGTTGAAAATTAAAAATCGAAAATAGAAAATTTTAAAACAAATATAGCGTTTTTTTTTAGGGTTGGAGGAAACTTTTAAAGTAGGAGTATAACTATAGAGAGATACTTTTTTTCCATAGTAAAGTATATTACATTAGCTATAATTTAAGATATATATAAAAGTATCAGTAAAATCATCTAAGGAATGTTTCCCTTTTAGGGTAATGAAAATAACTATTTATCAACACGTGTTTCAAACCAGTCCCCTATAATTCATTAACTACGGCTACGGCAGGGTTTCTATCACAATTAACCAATCACAAATAATTATCCAACATCTTAGGAATTTCAATAGAGATCACTGGCTTACTTCATCCGGCGTATAAAAATCCATTTTTTTCTCGTAAAAAGAGACTACGACGAGGATGACGACGACTGCTCTCGTAGCTCTGCTCTCGTTCTCTCAATATTCTCTTACATGGAATCTGCGTCAGTAATAAGTAAATATTTTGTACCTGTGACTTAGTTTTTTTTTTATATACAGAGTGGCTCACCACTCACTGACAAGTTAAATAACTTTTGATCCAGTTAATATTTTTAGCTGATTTTTTTTTTAAATATTAGTTAGACGTTAGGTCTATAGCTATATCTCAATAATTAATTTTTTTACATTTTATTAAAAATATTAATTATTTTAAAATTTTAAATAAAAAGTAAAAAAAAAATCTAAGATAGCTATTTTGTAGAGTAGAATTTAAGAAAAATTTTAGTAAAAAAATATCTTATTAATATTCAGTAGTAAATATTCTGTAGCGTTTTGAAGTTTGTGAAAATTTGAATTTTCATGTACTATTTTACGGTATTAAACATTGAAATACGTATTGAGAAAAGGACAGAAGAAAACGCTATCTTTTCATGATTACTGTGTATACATATGATGATAGTGTGTATACATTACAAACTTGGCATAAATACCATGATAAGAAATTAGATAAGGCAATTATTACTTATCACTCTCATTCAAAAGTATATTGAAAAGATAGCGTTTTCTTCTGTCCTTTTCTCAATACGTATTTCAATGTTTAATACCGTAAAATAGTACATGAAAATTCAAATTTTCACAAACTTCAAAACGCTACAGAATATTTACTACTGAATATTAATAAGATATTTTTTTACTAAAATTTTTCTTAAATTCTACTCTACAAAATAGCTATCTTAGATTTTTTTTTTACTTTTTATTTAAAATTTTAAAATAATTAATATTTTTAATAAAATGTAAAAAAATTAATTATTGAGATATAGCTATAGACCTAACGTCTAACTAATATTTAAAAAAAAAATCAGCTAAAAATATTAACTGGATCAAAAGTTATTTAACTTGTCAGTGAGTGGTGGGCCACTCTGTATATCATCCTATGTGGTGAACATTGTCTTAGATGATTTATTAATATTTTACCCAGGAACAAGTTTTTATTTATTTTTATTATCACCTAATGTTCTTACGACAAATAAATATAATCTCTATTTTTTATGTAAAAGTTTTAAATATTATTGTGCCCTTCATTTTGGACAGCCTTAAATGTGCCGAAATGAGTGAAGAAGCGTAATTTTATTTATTTAAACTTAGTTTGTAATATATAAGTTTTAAATATTATTGTGCCCTTCATTTCTGGACAGCCTTAAATGTGCTGAACTTAATGATGAAGCATAATTTGTGATTAGAATTAATTAGTTTTAGTAGTAGTACTTTATGCCTGTGTACCCGCCAGCCTTAAGGGACTATGCCAAATTATCTCTCGATAAAGTGTAGGCAGTTGAGGTACAGAGTAGTACTAAACTTATAAGAAGAGTATTATTGAAGTGCGCTATATCCGTCGATAAGCCAGTTCTAGAGCTAGTAGTTCGGGTAGAGTTTATTATAAAATATATAGTCCGTAAGATAGGAAACTACATCGTGGAAATATTCTCTGCGTGTGTACCCGCCAGCCATAAAGGACTATGCCAAATTACCTCTCGGTAAAGTGTAGGCAGTTGTCGTAAAGGATAGTAAAAGGTTTATTGAAATAGTATTTAAAATATATTAACGAGGTTAACTGTGTCCGCGTCAGCCAAGGCTTTACGCTGAGAAACGCTGGGCACCACAGTCTTGTTAATTATATTTTGAATATAGATAGATATATACTTGTAATTATATTTTGACAAGTTCAGAGTAAATTTTAAGAATATCGATATCGACTATAGGGAATTAATCGAAAATATTATTAGTAAAAACCCAGCACAGGGGGGTCGCGGCACAGTGGTGACGATGCAAATCTTTAGATAGTGTTTAATTTTAAAAAATTGATGGATAATTACAAAAGCTACATGATCTGCTAGTTCATTATTAATATCCTAATTAAGATAAAGTATGTCAAATGAAAAAGGGATTATTAAAAAATATTATTTCTCATAAAAAAATAATGTTGATCCATACACTTTTCAATATGTCATAGCATTATAAAGTTAAAAACCTAGCACAGGGGGGTCGCGGCACAGTGGTGACGTGGTATAGTTGGATCAAGTATAATGATATCTGACAGTGATTAAAATCACTATCATAAAAAACGCTTCGATGCAAATCTTTAGATAGTGTTTAATTTTAAAAAATTGGTGGATTATTCCAAAAGCTACATGATCTGCTAGTTCCTTATTAATATCCTGATTAAGATAAAGTATGTCGAATAAAAAAGGGATATAAATATTATTTCTCATAAAAAAATTATGTTGATCCATACACTTTTCATTAAGTTATATCATTATAAAGTTAAAAATGTAAAAAATAAAATCGAGAATTTTCACACAATAATAGCATTCGGTAGCTATTTTCACCGTGAAGACAAAATAAAGTCCGAATTTTTTTTTTCGCATAATAAAGTATATTACATTAGCTTTAATTAAAAATATATATAAAAGTGTCAGACTTTCCAGAACACTTTCAAAATTTAAGTTGAAAAAGTAAATTTTTTGTGAAAAAGTTGTCATTTTCCCCCCTAAAGGTAGGTAAAAAGTCAGATTTATAAAAAAAATATACCAAATTATAGGTAAAGTCATCATGCATCTATAAAAAAAAAAATTATATTAATATGTTCATGTTTGAAAAAGTTACGGCACATTTAAATAAAGAAAATTGAAAAAATTTCGAAAATTAGCGATTTTTAAATTTGTAATTTTTTTGGAGGTTTCCCCCATTTACGGGGAACGAGGGAATTTTTTTCAATTTTTAAGGGTAATGTCTTTGACTAGATACGATTTGTGATCTTTTGACGTATCATTGAAAGAAATCGGTTCGGTGAGAGCTGAGAAAAAGTGGTAACAGATACAAAAAAAAAAACACATCTTAGTAAAACCAATCGCATCGAAGCTAATATAAAAAAGAATTTTTTTACAAAAATAGTATTTTTTTTTTAACTTTGATGTCTGTTTTCACCATGAAGATAAAATAAACACCGAAATTTTTTTTTACCATAATAAAGTATATTACAATCATATCAAATGAAAGAAAAATATCTAAGGTTTTAGTATAATAATAAATTATGTTGATTTGTTCATTTTTGAAAAAGTTACGGCAGTGTTTAGAAAAAAAAATTTCGAAAATTAGCAATTTTTAAATTCGTAATTTTTTTGGAGATTTCTCCCATTCACGGGAAACGAGGGATTTTTTTCAATTTTTGAGGGTAATGTCTTCGACTAGATACGATTTGTGATCTTTTGACGTATCATTGAAAGAAATCGGTTCGGTGAGAGCTGAAAAAAAGTGGTAACAGATACAAAAAAAATAAATAAATAAATAAACACATCTTAGTAAAACCAATACTTTCTCAGCTTCGCATCGAAGCTAAAACATAGTATAATATAAAAATAATTTAAAGAAGATAAAAAAGGGTAACAAATTATAATAGACGCAGGTCCCATTTTAGAGAACCCTTTTTCTAAATCTATTATACACAGAGAGACTAATTAATCGAAATAATCGCAAGACAGTATAAACGACTGTTAACACTGAAGGAAGAAATCACTATAAAACCAACTCAGTCAACTACAAAAGGAAATAAAGTTAAGTGCGAATATTTATTTGAATGCCTTACTTCTAAAAAATCACGTAATAAAAAAGAATAGGAATAAGGGAGGTAGGGATATTTTACTATTTAATAAATAAATTTAGTTCAACCCCGATATACTACTTCATGTTTACCTTCTTTACCCCCTTTATCTTTTTATCGTTCTTTGTTTATTACAGCTAATATCTGACACTGATTAAAATCACTAACATAAGAAATGTTTGGAAGAAAATCTATAGATAGTTTTTAATTTTTTAAAGGAATTTTATAATTATTCCAAAAGTAACATCAACCATTTAAAAAAAAATAACAATAATACAGTATTAATGATACAATATGAGGTTCTAATATACAGGGTGGCCCACCACTCACTGACAACTTAAATAACTTTTGATCCAGTTAATATTTTTAGCTGATTTTTTTTTTTAAATAATAGTTATACGTTAGGTCTATAGCTATATCTCAATAATTAATTTTTTTACATTTTATTAAAAATATTAATTATTTTTAAATTTTAAATAAAATGTAAAAAAAAAATCTAAGATAGCTATTTTGTAGAGTAGAATTTAAGAAAAATTTTAGTAAAAAAATATCTTATTAATATTCAGTAGTAAATATTCTGTAGCGTTTTGAAGTTTGTGAAAATTTGAATTTTCATGTATTATTTTACGGTATTAAACATTGAAATACGTATTGAGAAAAGGACAGAAGAAAACGCTATCTTTTCAATATACTTTTGAATGAGAGTGATAAGTAATAATTGCCTTATCTAATTTCTTATCATGGTATTAATGCCAAGTTTGTAATGTATACACACTATCATCATATGTATACACAGTAATCATGAAAAGATAGCGTTTTCTTCTGTCCTTTTCTCAATACGTATTTCAATGTTTAATACCGTAAAATAGTACATGAAAATTCAAATTTTTACAAACTTCAAAACGCTACAGAATATGTACTACTGAATATTAATAAGATATTTTTTTACTAAAATTTATTATTTAAAAAAAAAAATCAACTAAAAATATTAATTGGATCAAAAGTTATTTAAGTTGTCAGTGAGTGGTGGGCCACCCTGTATATTTGTAAGAGTCTCATTTTTAATTATTACTAGGCATAATAAATCTTTATATTTATGTTATTTATACTTATAATAAAATATCATAAATAGACTAATTTCGTGTCAGTTGAATAACTTTATTTGAACTGTTATTAAGCAACTTACTTGCCATGGCCATGCACCTTTAAGTGTTTCGTTTCCATTGATTAACCTTGATTTTGATTCGTTAAACCTAGGTTGTCGATGATTTAATCCTCCATCATTTATACCACATTCTGTAAAGACAATTACTGATTAGCATTAAGATATTGATAAAAAGCAATTGATGATTTTTAAAGTTTTATAATCTGATTAAAGCTAACAACCTTTTGAGTTATAAATAGTTAATGGTTAAGTATAATTTTATTCTAAGAGTGTTCAGTAACTAAACAGGTCAATTGTTACAAACAATGAAAATAATAGAAACCTGTTTCCTGATAACTATACAGAGTGATTGGCTAACTATGTCTCACGTAATATTTTAAAAAATACAAGTGTTATTAAAAAAATTTTTTTTAATCATTATGGATCTTTGATGAACTGTTTTACAAGAAAATATAAATTTTTATCATTATCCCTTATACTTAGAACTTGTATCAAGTTCAGATATTCAAATAGCAACCCTATTTTTTTTACACCAATAGATTTAGTTTAATAAAAAAAAATATTTTATTTTATTTAATATTAAGCGTTCCAAGGATCTCTAGTTACCTAGTTTGTCAAAGTAAATCGGGATCGATACCTAAAATAATAATGTGACCATAATGGAAAAACTATTGCAATTTTTCTTCAAATTTCGTAAATTATAAAGTAGCAATCTTGTTTATAATTCATAATTTTTAGCTTCGATGCGAAGCTAAGAAGGTATTAATTTTACTATGATGTGTTTATTTTTTATTTTTATTTTGTGTCTGTGACTACTTTTTCTCAGCTCTCACTGGACCAATTTCTTTCAAAAATACGTCAAAAGATCACAAGTCGTATCTAGTTGAAGACATTACCCTTAAAATTTGAAAAAAATTACATCGTTCTCTGTAAATAGAAGAAATCTCCAAAAAAATTACAAATTTAAAATCGGTAAATTTTGTCATTTTTTTCACTTTTTTTTCTTAAAACTTCCATAACTTTTTCAAAAATAAACAAATCAACATAATTTATTTTTATACTAAAACCTTAGANAATAATTTTTTTTTAAACTAAAACCTTAGATATTTTCCTTTCATTTGATATAATATTATTCTTTCATTTGATATCATATTTTTGAAAATCTAACACTTAAAATAGCAACTTTTTTACAAAAACTAACTTTTTCAACTTAATTTTTGAAAATGTTCCGGAAATACTGCGTCCTTTAAACATATATCAAATTAAAGCTTATTTTATGTACTACAAAATGAAAAAAAAAATTTGTCCCGACACTTTATCTTCTGCATGTAAACGGCTGCCGTAGTTAAAATAACGCTATTTTTGTGTTAAAATTTTCGATTTTAAATTTTCAACTTAAAAATGATATAACTTTTCGAAAAATGTAATTATCAGTACAAATTTTTTTTTCTAAATACATTATAAGTACATCTTTCATTTGACATCCTTTTTATTAAAATTGGACAATTTCCCCATATATAGGGGTCGTTCAAAACTTGAAACATTGTATAAAAAAGGCTTGTAACTCAATAAGTACGTGTCATAAAATTGTTATCGACTAATAAAATATTTTTGCTAATAAAATTCTAAAAATTAGCAATTTCGAAATGTTAAAAACCCAGCACAGTGGGGTCGCGGCATAGTGGGGATGTTGCATAGTTGGGTCCAGTATAGATTTAATCTGACAGTGATTAAAATCACTATCATAAGAAACGCTTTGATGCAAATCGAAGTTCAGATATCAAATTTTTCTTTGAAGAGGCATTTATAAGGTATTTATTGTTAAAGAATAGAAATGATTCATGCATTTTTTAAAAAGTTATAGCATCATAATGTTAAAAAAACCCAGCACAGGGGGGTCGCGGCACAGTGGTGACGTGGCATAGATGGATCAAGTATAATGATATCTGACAGTGATTAAAATCACTCTCAAAAAAAAAACGCTTCGATGCAAATCTTTAGATAGTGTTTACTTCTAAGAAATTGGTGGATAATTACAAAAGCTACATTATCTGCTAGTTTCTTATTAATACCCTGATTAAGATAAAGTATGTCGAATGAAAAAGGGATTATTAAAAAATATTATTTCTCATAAAAAAATTGTGTTGATTCGTACACTTTTCAATGAGTTATAGCATTATAAAGTTAAAAATGTAACCAACCCAACCCAACATCAACTCCTAATTCCTTAATTATATCCAGATTAGTAATTATTTTAATTATATATTATATAATTAAAATAATTAATTATTTTCAAATTATTATTGATTTTTAATATGTTAAAAGTAATCATTTTGAACCTACTTCTTTTTGTTCTTTAAAGTGAAAGTTTTAATAAAAAAAAAATGAATTTATTACCATAACTTTTAACTCAACTTGCAAGTTTGAAATAAATATTATTAAATAGAAAAAAATGAAATTGGTAGATTATTTCAAAAACAACAATAACACTTATTCCCTTAATTTTACCCCGATTTATAACTATAATATATGAATACATAATAATTACAGTAATTAAATTGAGTATGAAAGTGGTATTCAATAATATAATATTGTAATTTTTACGGAGATATTATAAAAATAAAAAGGAGTTGTATATTCATATACTTTTAATGCGTATACAAATTTAAAGGAATTTATGCAATACTTTTTAATAAAAAAATTTTGTTACTAATGAATAAATACACTAAACAAAAGGAACTTTCATCAGAAAAAAAATATAAAATAAACTTTTCGCGATGTTTTTAAATGTGCAATTAAACTTTTTTTTCAATTACAAAAGTAAAATTATTTACTTTTGTAGTTGAATACTTTTATCATATCAAATCTAATTCGACAATAAATACTTTAAGAATATTAAAAATGAATGATTTTAATTGTTTGTATGGAAAAAGCTGGTTAAGCTACTTTTTATATGAATAAGGAATATTTTTTTGATTTTTAAGAGTAATAACTTAAACTGATCATTAACTTGAATCATTTGACGTATCGTTGAAAAAAGTAGGTCTAGTGAGGGTTGGCAAAATAAATCGTAGCCACAAAAAGAACCACATAGTAAAATAATATTAACATGAATATAAATTTCTTCTCACGAGGGGAGACTATAACATAAATTTTATTCTAACTCAAAAAAAATGCAAAATATTAGAAGCCACGGACGGATTTGAACCTCGTACCCTAAGCGTGAAAGGTTTAGGTTTTACCCATTAGGCAACTGTTCGTTGCTTTTGTTGCATGATAAAATTGGCTAACTTAAATTTAAAAATTACTTTTTCGACTTTAAAAAAGTAAAAAAATTTTAATATGTTNATTACTTTTTCGACTTTAAAAAAGTAAAAAATGTTAATAAGTATAATATCATATGTCTTATGAACTTTATTCTATGTCAATGAAATTATATAATATTCATGAAAGTCAGTTTATTCCCCTAATAAAATATTTTAAAATAAAATAAAATACAAAACCCAGAATTTTAATAAAAAAATAGCATATTTTTAAATACGGTAGCCTTTTGCGCATAGAAGATAGGTCGTCGGGTCAAATTTTTTTTTTCATTTTATAGTACATAAAATAAGCTTTAATTTGATATATGTTTAAAGGACGTAGCATTTCCGGAACATTTTTAAAAATTTTTAAAAAAAAGTTATATTTTTTATACAATGTTTCAAAGTTTGAACCCCCCCTATATAAGGGGAAATTGTCTAATTTTAATAAAAAGTATGTCAAATGGAAGATGTACTTATAATGTATTTAGAAAAAAAAAANAGACACAAAAAAAAAAAAAATAAATATATAAATAAATAAACACATCATGGTAAAATTAATACCTTCTCAGCTTCGCATCGAAGCTAAAATAGAACTTTTTCAACTTAACTTTTGAAAGTGTTCCGGAAATATTGCATCCTTTAAATATATATCAAATTAAACCTTATTTTATGTATTATAAAATGAAAAAAAAAAATTTGTCCTGACTCCTTATCTTCTATTTACAAATGGTTGTCAAAATTTAAAAAAAAATGTAATATTTGAGATAAAAATCACCATCTATAAGGATGTTTTTTGTACTTAAAACTGCCATAACTTTTTCAAATATTAACAAATCAAAATAATATTTTTTTATATTGACCTTAGGTAATTTCCTTTTGTTTGATATCATTTTTTTTTACAATAATTGTAATGTTTAAATTACAATATTAAATTATTGAATATCAATTTCATACTAAATTTAATAATTATAATTAGTATTTATTCATTTAAAAATCAAAGAACTACTAATTAAGATATAATCAAAGAAATAAGAGTTGATGTTGCTTTTGGAATAATCCACCAATTTCTCTAAATGAAACACTATCTACAGATTTGCATCGAAGCGTTTCTTATGATAGTGATTTTAATCACTGTCAAATATCATCTATACTTGTCCTATCTATGTCTTGTCTACACTATGCCTTGACCCCACTGTGCTACCGTTTTTTTTTGCTAAACATTTTTTTTTTATAACAAAAAATATATATATAAATAATATGGGGTTGCCATTTGAAAGTCTGAAATTGATACAAGTTCTAAATACAAGGGATGATGATAGAAATTTAATTTTTCTTATGAAACAGCTTATTAATGGACTATAATGAATAAAAAAAAATTTGTTTATAACATTTGTATTTTAAAGACATTACGTGGGACATAGTTAGCCAATCATTCTATGAATGTTAAATTTGAGTTAACATATACTCCTTGCTATTTTTTATTATTTGACTTTTTTTCTCCCTGTCGTGAGTTAATAGGTTCTTGGATGCAATCAGGGTAGGCTTGGTAAAAATCTCAATAGTTTTTCTACAATTATGGAAATTATAATGATGGGTGGGTCTGTCATACTTATTTTTTATCATGAGCATGATAGCATAACCCTTTAGCTTGTGAAAGTGTTACATTTACTGTGATATATTTTAGCTTCGATGCGAAATGAGAAGGTATTAATTTTAACATGATGTGTTTTCTTTTATGTCTCTTGCCACTTTTTCTCAGCTCTCAATGGATCGATTTTGATAAACAATATGTGAAAAGATCACAAATCGTATCTAGTTGAAGAAAATACCCTTAAAAATTAAAAAGTTTCACAGATTCCTCTTAAATGGGAAAAATTTAAAAAAAAATTACAATTTTTAAAATTGGTAAATTTTGTCATTTTTTTCACTTTTTTTTTTTAAACTACCATAACTTTTTCAAAAATTCACGAATTAACTTAATTTTTTTTTATACTAAAACCTTAGATATTTACCTTTCATTTGATATAACTTTTTTGAAAATCTAACACTTAACCTGCTCACTGGAGAGGATTTAAAGTAGCAACTTTTTTACAAAACCTAACTTTTTCAACTTAATTTTTGAAAATGTTCCGGAAATACTGCGTCCTTTAAACATATATCAATTTAAAAGCTTTATTAAATACTATAAGTTCAAAAAAAAAAATTTTTCCTAACACCTTTTTTTCTTTAGGCAAATGGCCGTCGAATTCAACGAAAAATGTAATTTTTATTTAATATTAAATATTTTATTACTTAAAATTGCCATAACTTTTTTTAAAAAATAAAAAATTTAAGTTATTTTTTTTTTTTATTGAAATCTTAGATATTTTTCTTTTATTTGATACAATTTTTTTGAAAATCTGACTCTAAACCTGCCTGCAGGAGGAATTCAAAAAATGAATTTTTGCACACAAGTTAAGCTTTTTCAATGTAATTTTTGAAAATATTCCAGAAATATTGACACTTTTATTTTATCTTAAATTAAAGATTATATTATATACTTTATTATGAAAAAAAAAAATAGAAATATAGATTTTCTTCTATGCGCAAATGGCTACCGTATTCAAAAATATGCTATTTTTCTATAAAATTCTCTTTTTTTTGTATTTTATTTTATTTTAAAATATCGTACAAGATAAATACACTGACTTTCATGAATATTATATAATTTAATTGACATAGAATAAAAATGAGAAGTTAAACTTATTTAAATTTTTTTACTTTTTTAAAGTCAAAAAAGTAACTTTTAAATTTGACTTAGCTTAAATAGCTAATTTAATACCTGACAAAAGCGACAGACAGTTGCCGAATAGGTCACTTACGGTTTGGGTGCCAGGTTTGAATCCGCCTGTGGCAGTGAATACTTCGTAAGTTTTTAAGTTAGAAAAAATGTTCAAATCATTTGATTTTTATCTCATTTAGATTCATCAACTTCAATAAATATCAAGAATCTCATCACTTTCGTCTCCCCTCATGAGAAGATATTTCTTATTCACATTAATATTATTTTACTATGTGTTTTTTTTTTTTGTGGCTACGATTTATTTTGCCAACCCGCACTTGACCTACTTTTTCAAAGATATGTAAATGATTGCAATGCGTGTTTAGTTAAAGAAATTAAACTCAAAAATTGAAAAAGTTCCCTCGTTCTCCGAAAATATTTTTCAATTTTTTTCTTCAAAATGTCATACTTTTTCAATTATGATTATATCAATACAATTTTTTTTTTTTTTTCATAATATCTTTATCTATAATTTGGTATATTTTTTTTCTAAATCTGACACTTAACCTGCTCCAGGGGAGATTTACTGTTTTACAAAAAATGAACTTTTTCAACTTAACTTTTAAAAATGTTCCGGAAGGTCTGACTGTTGTATATATATCTTAAATTAAAGCTAATGTACTTTATTATGAGGAAAAAAAATTTGACCTCTGGACTTGTCTTCGTGGTGAAAATGGCTACCGAATGCTATTTTTGTGTGAAAATTCTCGATTTTATTTTTTACATTTTTAACTTTATAATGCTATAACTTACTGAAAAGTGTATGGATCGACACAAATTTTTTATAAGAAATAATATTCGGTTGACATCCTTTTTTTTAAAATAACACCATTTCCCTTTATATATTTATATATTATAAATATATATAGATTTATTAATGCCAGTCGGCTTTTTTGAAAAGATACAATAAACATACAGAATATAGTTTTAGTAACAGTGAAATGAATTGACAAATGTAACAATAATAATATGTGTGTCTCCATACAAAGCTAAAGATTATCGTTATATTCACGCATAAGCTTAATTAAGGGTGCATTTTTAGCAAAATTGGAGCTGCTTAAAGATAAATAAAATTGACACTGATATCTAGTATTACATGTATACTTCCAGTATATCTAGTATGTCATCTATACTTGTCTCAACTATGCCACATCATCACTGTTCCGAGACCCGCCTGTGCTGGTTTTTTTTTTAAATTTTAACTTTCCCAAAAGGAGGGATTCAAAATAGCAGCTTTTTCACAAATAGTCAATTTTTAAACTTAACTTTTGAAATTGTTCCGGAAATACTGTATCCTTTAAACATATACCAAATAAAAACTTATGTCATATACTATAAAATTAAAAAAAAAATTTGTCCCAACGACTTATTTTCTACGTGCAAATAGCTGCCGTAATTAAAAACCTGCCATTTTTGTGCTAAAATTTTCAATTTATATTTTCAACTTTAAATTACTATGACTATTAAGAAGGAAATATCAGATCATATAGCTTTTGGAATTATCCATCAATTTTTTAAAATAAACACTATCTAAAGATTTGCATCGAAGTGTTTTTTTTGATAGTGATTTTAATCACTGTTATTGTACTTGATCCAACTATGCCACGTCACCACTGTGTTGCTACCCCCCTGTGGTGGGTTTTTATTTTTGTGTCTGAAGCCACTTTTTCTCATTTTTCACTGAATCAATATCATTCAACAATACGTCAAAAGATCACAAATCGTACTTAGTCGAAGACTTAATCCTCAAAAATTTATTGATTATTCCAAATGTTACATTAAGTTCTATTATCTTAATTATATCCTCATTAGTAGTTCTTCGGTTTAAAAGTATAAATATTAATTATATTACTTTAATTTAGTATTAAATTGATATTCAATAATTTAATGTTTTATTTTAACGGAGAAGTTATGAAAATTTTAAATTAATTGTATATTTATTTATTTTCGACGTGTATAAAAATATAATAAGATTGATGCAATACTTTTCAAAAAAGAATGTTTTTTTTATGAATAAATACACTGGACAACAAGGAACTTTCATCAGAATCAAAAAAATACTTTTTTAAATCTTCATAAAATATTCTATTTATTATAATTATACAGGATGTTCAGTAAGTCAGGAAACGGGTTTCTATTGTTCTCATTGTTTGTAACAATGAGAACAATAGAAATCCGTTTCCTGACTTACTGAACACCCTGTATTTGTTTGAATTTCTAAAATGCCACAAATTGACTAAAATAATTTTGACAGTTGGTATTCTGACCACATGCCCCAAGTGTGAAAGACTTTAGAATTACCAATTCGTCAATCGCATTTATTAAAAGATAAAAAGGACAATTTAAGGTAGTTCAAAAATTCTCAGTTGTTTTTCTTAACTTAGTTTTCCAGACAACCCAGACTTCCCCTAATAAAATAACTACTGGCCATTAGCTACATTAAATATGTTTAATTCATGTAAAAATCAACTTTTATTGGCATTTTGTAAAATAATACTATTATTATGTTATTTAAAGTAGTAAAACGGTATGTTAAGTGTATAAGGTGCTTTTGTATATCTAAAATCTATAATAGTCCATACTAAATTAATATAAAGGATCGTAGTCTACGTGAATTAATATTTATAATAGTGTAACGGCATTAATATTAGTCATAATGGCGAAATAATAGCCCACGAGAAAATATTTAGTTAACGTCTCAAACAAATGAGATAGAGAAAGTAAAAATAATAGAATTTTAAATTATATCTTTGTCGCCTATTTGAAATGTAATATAATTGTTATTATAATAGATTAAAGAATTATAAAATATAATATTAGCTAAAGTTAGTAGTAATCAAAAATACATTTAAACTTATTGATACAAAAGTCACGAACATCATGAACTTACTTTTTGATGGAAAATAATGTGTGTTGAAATATACTGTAAAAAATTTAAAATCGTGATGTGTTCACAATATTATAGATAACACTCACCTTCGCCTAAAGGTAAACACATAATGGCAGATGCTACCAAGTACAAATACAGCGTCACCACGTGCAACATATGATGAATTTGGCTTCTAGTGTACTAATAAGATATCAACCATCAAGTCCTACTAGAAGATGAATACTGGCAAACAAGACCTTAGAAAAAAAAACGCTCTCTCTTTCATCGTTTACTTTCGCCTTTTCCAAAGTGAGCTCTAAATATTAAGTACTATTATCTTTAGAAAATGTCTATCCAGATAGTTTATTATCCCCTCTATCTTTATAAAACTTTCAAGTTTTAATTATGATTTATTTCGAATCACACATTTGTTTAAATACATTGGTAAAATATTATTATATAATATTATTTAAAATGATAATAATGCGTGTAATGCAATAAAAATATTAACAATAACTACAATAAAAAATCAATCTGAATTTAACTTTATTGTAAAATTGGAAAGATATTAATTAAACTAAGATGTCTTTTTTTCTATATCTGTCCCCATTATTACTCAGCTTCTATTAGATCAACATTGATTAAAAATACATCATCAAAGATCACAAATTGTATATAGTTAAGAACAGTGGCGGATCGTGTGTGCTGGTAATTGAGATGTGGCTTTAAATATAATACTACTAGTGATAAGTATAAAAAATTATCAAATTAAATGTAATAAAATAAAACACAATACATATATTATTATTTTAAAGGTCGCGGTAGATAATAAAAATGAAAATAATAATAATAGCGATTATACTATTATAGCGTCAATAAAGTCGAGCGTACACACGTAGTTAATTCTAAAAATTCATTATCCAATATAGTAATATACTAATATTTTACCGTCCAAACACTGCTCGTATGTACATGCGCCACCCGTATATATTCCTAATATTTGAGGCAATTTTTATGTTCGTACACGACAAATGTATTATAACTATTTTACTATTTAAATTTTTGCATTTTTAATAAAAATGTAGAATTAAGAATATACGATTAATTTTCTTCTTTTAATTAATTTTAGTAGGGAGTACGATTGTCGGCGAGCCGCCAGTAGTTAAAGATATTACCAACATAAAATAATTAAAAACGTTTTCATTATTCCTTTTAAATTGAGGAAATGCTCCAAAAATATTACAATTATGTAAATTTTGATAATTTTTAACTTATTTTTTTTAACTGGCATACCTTTGTACAAAATTAACAAATAAAAACAATAAAACAGTGGGGCTTGACACAGTGTGACGTGGCATAGTTGGGACAAGTATAGATGATGTTTGACAGTGATTATAATCTCTATCATAAAAAACGCTTCGATGCAAATCTATGTTTCGTACGAAGCAGCTAGACGGCTAATTGTGCATCGCACTAGAATGCCATTTCATCTTAAGCCTGTTTAAATCGCTATTATTGAAGCGGGAGAGGGGTCATCTGGAAGGATGACGGCTGAATAGATGAAACTGTTGATAGAGATGAGTGGACTGTATGAGATCTTTTGGTAATGGTGTTGAACATTTGAGCATTACGAGTCAGCGTGTAGATGCAAGCATGTAATTGCACATGAAAAGAGACGGAAGTAAAACGACTACAACAATGAAGTTATTTAGTGATGGTCAGGGCACAACCACTGGTGGCATGCAATGGTACGAGAACTTAAAGCATAAGAGTGCAACAAACAAATAATAAAATAATAACGTACAATGGCCGAACAATTTACCATTCAAGCGAAGGCGCTTGCTACGGAACAGATGACACATAACACAATTGATTGACTGACTCACGACGATAAACTGTACACAAATAAAAATTGATACCCGGGCCATCGATTTACCCTGCTGAGTGGACATGAGGGTGAGTAAAGCAAAGACGCTAGAGATCAGCAGTCACACGATACAATATAATCAACGATGTTTGTGACAACTGGTCCACTAGGTCTATGCTAAAGGCGTTCTCTATCAAAGAAATAATTTATTATTACATAAATGAAGTAATAAAGTTTTTGTTACTATTATTGAAAAACTTGTATAAAATTTGAAGTGCTTGATGCAGTACTAAAAAAAAAAATTGTTTGTTACTTATAATTAATTTACTGGTCTACAAGGAATTTTCATCAGAGTCAAAAATTTACTTTTCTTGATCAATTTTTTTGTGCCGTTTTCAAATTTGCAATTAGAGTTTCTCAAATTAATTCTAAATAATACCAAAATCCTTCTAATTAATATAACAAATATTTATGTTCGATTATTATGTTACGTATGAATAATCAATAAACGAAAAGCTATGTTAACAAAATTTTGAGTTTTCCTCATAAGTATAATGTTCATAATAATAAAAGTTCCTGATTGCATATTAACCAAAATTTTCATTATTTATATTTATATATTATTCTTATAAATCATATAACTACTAATTAGGAATAACAAAGGAAATATGAGTTAATTTTGCTTTTGGAATATTCCATCATTGTTTTAAAATTATACATTATATACAGATTTGCATCGAAGCGTTTCTTCAAAATTAATTTTTCAACTCAGATTTTGGAAGTATTCCGGAAATACTTACTGACACTTTTATATATATTTAAAATTATAGCTCTATACTTTATTATAGAAAAAATAACTTCATACTGTGTCTTCGTGGTAAAAATGGCTACCATATTCAAAAATTATAAAATTTCCTGACTGAATATTAATCTATATAAAAATATTTTTTTATTCTCATATAATTCTCTATTTAATGATGTCAATTTCTAACTTACAAGTTGAGCTAAGAGTTATGGTATCAAATTAAACTTTTTTTTTTACTATAAACTTTCAAAAAAATAACTTTAAAGGACCAAAAAAATAGGTTAAAATTGATATTTTGCGTTGATTATTTTTGACATTTTAAAAATCAAAATTAGTAATAATTTAAAACACAATTTTTTTTGTTTTTAATGATTCATTTGTATGTCAATATTCATTTTTAAATAATTAGTAATAATATCAAAACTTATAAGTGATAGAAAAAGTTGATTAAAAAAAAAATATTTTGATTCCGATCAAAGTTCCTTGTAGACCAATGAATGATATAAAAAAAAAAACGGTAGCACAGTGGGGTCGAGGCACAGTGTGGACGAGGCATAGATGGGACAAGTATAGATGATATCTGACAGTGATTAAAATCACTATCATAAGAAACGCTATCATAAGAAACGCTTCGATGCAAATCTGTAGATAGTGTTTCATTTAGAGAAATTGGTGGATTATTCTTCTTATTTCTTTAATTATATCCTGATTAATAGTTCTTTGATTTTAAAATATAATATATGAATAAATACTAATTATGGTTTTTAAATTCAGTATGAAATTGTGAGGCCAGTNGAGTGACTAGAGAAGATAGGATAAGGAACGAGCATATAAGAGGAAGTATAGGTGTTGCGTCAATCGTGGATAAGATGACAGAAAATAGACTTAGATTGTTTAGTCATGGTATGAGGAAAGAAGAATCGAAAGCTGTAAGAACAGTTATAGAAATGAATGTTGAAGGAAGAAGAGATAGAGGAAGACCAAAAAAGAGATGGAGGGATGCTATTGAATGCGATTTGAGGACAGCTGATGTGAGCGTAGAAGATGTGGGAGATCGTGTCAAGTGGAATCTTAGGATAAGTATGGCCGACCCCAAGTAGTTGGGATTAAGGGAAAAANAGATCGTGTCAAGTGGAATCTTAGGATAAGGGTGCCCGACCCCAAGTAGTTGGGATTAAGGCAAAGAAAAAGAAAAATATTACCAGATATTCCGGTGGCAATTGACATAATATGATTGTTGTTTCGGAATGTACAATTTAGCGTTTAGTTGGGTTTAAATAATATAGCGTGAAATCAATTACCTACTCTATCGGTTGTATCTCAATATACACTACACTTTAATGATACAATAAATAAATAAACTCACACATACACACATATGCATTTATAACATTGTGTCTAATGTAAGTATAACATGATAAAAAGTAACCGTAAAATGAAAAAAATGGAATATAAATTTTAGTACTCATATTAAATGTAATGTAACTCGAAAAATATTTGTTTAAATGAAAAAATAAAAGATATTTTTTTGTATTAAAACTGTCTTTTAAAGAACTTTTGTACCGAACATTTTTTTGTAAATTAAATATTTTTTGAGAAAATTAAAAAAGCTCATATTTTTTAACTTTAGCGAGGCTGTAAAAAAAAAAGCACAATTCCAATCTTGAGGACTATTAGTATGTCATTATACATATTTTAATTCAACTTTTAAAAAAACAAAATTTTTTCCGCAATTTTTCCTTTGTTGACAGGCCTAGATGTCAATTTTAAACTTGTAATTGAGCTAAAAGTTATGGTAATATATTCAATTTATTTTACTATAAACTTTCATAAATCTTTATCAAAAATTTTTCATCAACTTTAAAGAACCAAAAAAATAGGTTAAAATTGAAAATTTGGACTGATTATTTTTAACATATTAAAAATCAAATCAGTAATAATTTGAAAACAAATTTTTTTTTCTTTTAATTATTATTTTATATATATAATTAGTAATAATATAAAAAATTAGAAGTGATAGAAATAGTCTACTTGCAGATTTGAAAACAACGCGAAAATTTGATTTAGAAAAGTATATTTTTGCTTCTGATGAAAGTTCCTTGTAGTCCAGTGCATTTTTTTATAGTAACAAACAGTTTTTATTGAAAATTATTGTATCAAGCCCTTTAAATTTTTATACACGTAAAAGTAAAGCAAAATATAACTTCTTTATTATATTTATAATTTCTCCGTTTAAATTACAATATTAAATTATTGAATATCAATTTCATACTAAATTTAATAATTATAAGTAGTCGGTTGAAAAAATTAGCTATTTAAGCTAATTCAAATTTCAAAGTTATTTTTCTCGACTTAAAAGAAGCAAACAAATTTAAATAAGTTTGAATTTCTATACTATATTAATTTTAATTTATATAATATTTATGAAAACCTGTACTCCCCTTGTCAGGTATTTTAAAATAAAATAAAATACAAATCCCAGAATTTTAACACAAAAATAGCATATTTTTGAATACGGTAGTCATTTTCACCATGAAGACAAGTCCAGAGGTCAAATTTTTTTTTTCAGATTAAAGTATATTACATTAGCTTTAATTTAAGATATATATAAAAGTGTCAGTATTTTTGGAACATTTTCAAAAATTAAATTGAAAATGTTTAAAGTTTTGAC